CCAATCCTCCTTGAAGACTGCGGCGTTTACCCTCCGAGGTGTGTGACATCATACTGGGTTCATACGGAAAGTGTTAACTAATTGTAAAATGACTAACCAATGGGAACCCCGGGGGGGCAGAGTTAACGGTGTATAAGATTTAAGCACAGAGGTTTTTAGTTAAGTTGGAGTTGTTGAGACGACAGTCTGGATTTAGGAGAGACAGAGGAGATAAGTCTGTGGGTTGGGCTAGTCTGGGGTGAGAGAGTGAGAGAATTTGTTAAGAGGAGTCAGTCAAACAGTTGAGATAATCAGTCAGAAGGTATTAGGAAGCTATAGGCCGGTAAAGAAACTAAAGTTAAGATATTGACAGGAATATTATCTGAGAAACCATAAACTTGTTAATGCTTGTAAAATAAACTTGTTTTTTTGGTTCACTTTTAACAACTGACTGGACCCAGTGTTTACCAGAGAGTAACTGGTTGGTGGCAGTGGGGAAGCGAGCACAGTGGTGGAACAGGGATCAATAGACCGTTAAACATCCGGGGACCCTGTGTGATCGCCACAAAGGCTGTCTTGTCTTGTCCTCCAATTTTATGAGTTTAACTTGCAAATTTGGCAGACTCCCATCCATTTTGACTTCTGCTCTTCTTTCATATGCCATTTGGGGGCATCAAGTACCCTCCTCACGGCAGTAGTCGCATACAGAGAGAAATTCCTTTGATTCTAGGTAAAGGTAAAGGGACCCCTGACCATTAGGTCCAGTCGTGACTGACTCTGGGGTTGCGGTGCTCATCTCGCTTTATTGGCCGAGGGAGCCAGCGTACAGCTTCTGGGTCATGTGGCCAGCATGACTAAGCCGCTTCTGGTGAACCAGAGCAGCGCACGGAAACACCGTTTACCTTCCTGCCGGAGTGGTACCTATTTATCTCCTTGCACTTTGACATGCTTTCGAACTGCTAGGTTGGCAGGAGCAGGGACCAAGCAACGGGAGCTCACCCCGTCATGGGGATCTGAACCGCCGGCCTTCTGATCAGCAAGTCCTAGGCTCAGTGGTTTAACCCACAGCGCCACCCGCATCCCTTTCTATTAATTATTCTATTCTATTAATTATAGAATATAGAATCATTCTATTCTATTAATCTATTTCTATTAATGCATTCTATTAATCAGAGTCTAATCCTTCCTTTGCTTTGGGAACGCTAGAGGATACAAATGAAAAGTGAGATGCAACGCGATGGTGGTACTCACATGCAGATCGTGGCTGACTTCCAGGCTGACCTTGGGCAGGGAGATGGCGACGGCTCGCTGCTTCATCTTCCCCTGCCAGACCTTCAGCTGTTCCCGGGTCAGAAGCTTCTCCAGCCTCTCCAGCGGCTCCACATGGTTGGGCATGATGAAGATCATGCTGGACAGCTTGTGCGCCAGAGGCATCTCCACCATCTGGAGGTTCTCTGCCTCGTCATTGAAATAGTTGTACAGCCCTGCGGAAACAAAGGGGAATGAGTCAGCGGCTGCAGGGAGACAGGCGAGGGGCGAAGCAGGCAAGTGCGCAGCGGCACATCAATGCAGAACACACTATTCTTTTCTGGCACTAATATTTATTGGGTTTCTATGGGGGCAAGGCAAGGGAGGCGGGTGGCGCTGTGGGTTAAACCACAGAGCACAGAGCTTGCCGATCAGAAGGTCGACGGTTCAAATCCCCGTGGCGGGGTGAGCTCCCGTTGCTCGGTCTCTGCTCCTGCCCACCTAGCAGTTCGAAAGCATGTCAAAGTGCAAGTAGATAAATAGGTACTGCTCCGGCGGGAAGGTAAACGGCGTTTCCGTGCGCTGCTCTGGTTCGCCAGAAGCGGCTGTACGCTGGCTCCCTCGGCCAATAAAGCGAGATGAGCGCCGCAACCCCAGAGTCGTCTGCGACTGGACCTAATGGTCAGGGGTCCCTTTACCTTTATGGGGCAAGGCAAAACAGTACCGAGAACAAGGGAAAAAATTAAGCAACTAAAGAGCAGTCATGCCACTTAGGATCAGGATTAGGGCTGGCCGATGTCTGTTTTTCAACATCGTGATAGATCACCAGCTAAACATCACAATATAAACCACTTTTAAAAGCCATCTCCAACTCCTTGAAAGATTCCATCAATGGTGTCTCCTAAAACATCACCTGGGAAGACAGGTGAACTAATTGCCAGTGTACTGGAAGAAGCAAAGATCACCAGTGTCGAAGCAATGATTCTTCAACATCAACTTCCTTGGACTGGTCATGTTGTGCGGATGCCTGATGATCGTCTTCCAAAACAACTACTCTATTTTGAACTTAAATATAGAAACTGTAATGCTGGTGGTCAACAAAAGAGGTTTAAAGACTCTCTCAAGGCAAATATTTAAAAAATGTAGTATAAACACAAACAACTGGGAAACACTGGCCTACGAGTCCTCCAGTTGGAGAACAGCCTTTACCAAAGGTGTCAGGGGCTTTGAAGACACTCGAACACAGGACACAAGGGAGAAACGCGCTAAGAGGAAGGCATGCTTGGCAAATCCACACTGTGATCAACTCCCACCTGGAAACCAATGTCTCCACTGTGGAAGGACGTGTGGATCCAGAATTGGCCTCCATAGTCACTTACGGACTCAGTGTTAAAACTGTGTTTATGGAAGACAATCTTACTCGGCTATGAGGGATCGCCAAAGATACTGATATATCACGAAGTCTGAAATAAGGATGGAGTCACACAGAGGCGAACGAGGCCATGTCCTAGAAAGTGTTAGCAGTCTAAAACTGAAGCTTTTCCAGCCAAGAATGAGGCTGGGCTCCTTTTCCAGGCTCTCTTACCGGTGCGGTGCATCATGGGAATGCCAACCGTGTAGGAACGCGTCACCATAAAGCCACGATTGTCAACCATCTTGTGATGGAACCTTTCGTCCCAGTGAGCTGTGGAAGCAAAGAGATGAAGCAAGGCCGGTTAACAGCAGGACGGACCAGTTTGCTGTATCTCACGCATCTGATTCAATCGCGCGTGCCCCCCCCGGCCACAATTCAAAGAACACACAGCTGGTTCTTGCTTTGTAGCTGCGGTTTCAGGCCTTTCAAGAAGCCAAACCCAGAAGCAAGGAACTTGCACAAAACACAGCTGCCGGCTTTTTGACTGGCACTTGCAGGCAATGCTATTTAACACTATTTATTCTGTGCCGTCTTTACATTAGCAGGCCAAATCCAGGGTGCTGATATTAATACACAAAGCCCTCAGAAGCTTGGGATTGAGGTATTTATCTGAGTGCCTCTTCCTGGGCCAGCCAGCTTGCACCCTTAATAGATGCCCTTTCAACAACAGGTGTTGCTCACTGAATGGTGACTCAGAACAGGGCCTTCTCTGTAGTGGCACCCACAGTTATGCAACTCCTTTCCCCTAAAAGGAACCAAATGCCACCACACTGTTGACGTCTCATTTTTGCATGTGCCCAAAGCCCACATTGAGAGTACAGTAGTACCTCAGGTTAAGCACTTAATTTGTTCTGGAGGTCTGTTCCTAACCTGAAACCGTTCTTAACCTGAAGCACCACTTTAGCTAATGGGGCCTCCCGCTGCTGGCGCACCGCCGGAGCACGATTTCTGTTCTCATCCTGAAGCAAAGTTCTTAACCCGAGGTATTTGGGCAGCGTCTGTAACCTGAAGCGTATGTAACCCAAGGTACCACTGCATTGCCAATCTCTCATTACAGCCCTTTACCAATTGACTGATATTCCTCTGTTGCTGATACTTTCACTATATCTTCCATTTTATTTATATTATTTCGGTTATCTTAACGCTGCCAACGTTTTCAGCAGTACACCATTATTTCCCATATATTCAATAAATGTTTTCCAACCTTCTCTAAACGTATGTTGTTCTTGTTCTCTTATTCTACACGTTAAGTCTGCAAGCTGTGCATATTCTGTCAACTCAAGTGGCCATTCTTCTTTGGTTGGGACCTGGCTCCTTTTCCATTTCAGAAACCCTTGGTTTCATCCAGTAGGGCTCTTCCTGCTGGCTGAACAATTCCACCACTCCTATCTGGACCCCACATGCTCAGCAAGAGCTCAGGGCTTGCACCCCAACCCACCCTCCCCACCGGCTTCCACTTACGTTTGAAGAACATGGCGTTGACGATGAGGGCTCCGTCCGTCTTCTCCACATCCTTGGTAACCTCGGGCAGCTTGCCGTCGGTGGTCTGGGAGGCCCACTCGTTGATGGACTTGAGGGCGCTGCGCTTGTCCCGGAAGTTGATCTTGGAGTGCTCGTAGTTGTAGTGCTTCTTGCTGCTCTTGACGAAGTCGTCGGTGAAGCTGATGGAGCTGGGGCCGTATAAGCGGCTGCCCATCTTCCAGGTGACGTTGCGGGCCGTGGAGTTGCTGACCTCGCTCAGGAGCTCTGAGAGGCCACTGTGGACGTAGTCGTCGTTCAGCTTGTCGGCGCTGAGCAGCGCCTTGGCCTGCGAGGCCGTGGTGGCCTTGCCGCCCAGGGACACCAGCCCGAGAGAGGATGCCACCACCACTGGAGACACCAAGATGTTCTCCATGTTCTTCTCCTTGGCCATGGCGTGGTAGAGGTTGAAGGCCAGGGTGGCGCTGCGGTCGGCCAAGGTGGCTGCCTTGTCACTCAGCTTCTTGTCTCCGGAAGAAGCCTTCTTCTCGCTCTTCTTCTTGTCCTCCGGGGGAACGGCAAGGACCAAGGCGCAGAGCACAAGGAGTCGGATCATCCACATGGTGGCTGCCATGGATGCTGGGAACCAGCTGAGCCTGCAAGGAAACAGAAGGCAAGGATCAGTGAGGCTGAGCAGTCCCGTTTCCCTGTTCCTTCTCCAACCAGGAGATGTATTCTATGGGTAAAGAAAACCACCAGCGCTGGAAGGGCCTATGTAGGGAAGGGATGTTGCTTAGTGGCAAGTGTAGGGGCAATCGAGGAGTTTAGTGATCTGACATGGTCTTTTCTTCTGGCCTGTGTTTACTTCCCTTCTATCTCTTGTTAAAGCTATGGTTTTCCCAGTAGTGATGTATGGAAGTGAGAGCTGGACCATAAAGATGGCTGATCGCCGAAGAATTGATGCTTTTGGATTATGGTGCTGGAGGAGACTCTTGAGAGTCCCATGGGCTGCAAGAAGATCAAACGCATCCATTCTTAAGGAAATTAGCCCTGAGTGCTCACTGGAAGGACAGATCCTGAAGCTGAGGCTCCAAGACTTTGGCCACCTCATGAGAAGAGAAGACTCCCTGGAAAAGACCCTGATGTTGGGAAAGATGGAGGGCACAAGGAGAAGGGGACGACAGAGGACAAGATGGTTGGACAGTGTTCTCGAAGATACCAGCATGAGTTTGACCAAACTGCGGGAGGCAGTGGAAGACAGGAGTGCCTGGCGTGCTGTGGTCCAGGGGGTCACGAAGAGTCGACATGACTAAATGACTAAACAACAACATCGCTTGTTCTGCTCTTTGATGGCTGAGAGTAGCCTTTAATGTGTCATCTGGTGGAAGGAAGAAGCGATAATGTTGGCTACCTTTTGACCTTCTTTGATGTACAAGCATTGGGAAGAGGGTGTCTAATGAACAACCTGCACGTAGTGACTAATGAATAAACTTCAAACCAGAGGCATATTGACTGGGTATGATTGATGTGGGCTTTCCCAATCAATTTCAGGATATCTTTCTCTATGCAACGCTGGCAGCGAGGATTCTTATAGCCACAATGTGGAAAAGTAAAAAAGCTCCCTCAAGACAAGAGTGGGTCCAAAAAATGATTGACTATGCTGAGTTAGACAGCCTATCCGGAAAATTAAATAAAATTTTATTTTATTTTATTAAGGAAAGAATTTATTTCAAAATAGGAAGCATTTAAAATATATTTGAAAATTAATAATACTGACTTAAAATCCATTGCGGCATTTGAATACCAGCAATATCGTTCATTAGGTATATGATATAATACATTTTGAACTGATTTGAGACGATAGCAATAACATGTATTGGCAGCAAAGAATGGTAATTAGATTTATGGAGTAGATGGGAAGTCGGATTTAAAAGGAAGAGATCATTACCGTTCATGGATTATGGAATTTATATGAATTCTTTATGTAATGTGCGACTGATGGTATTCTTATTATGGTGTAATATGTCTTTTTGTTGTTGTCATGTGTTGAGCAAATAAAATTTAATTTTTAAAAAATAAAAATAAACTGCATCTAGGCAGTTGGACAAGCCATACAGGCTAGCTATCAATAATCTATAAATCAGATGGTTTTGGGACATAGTTCTGAGAAGCTTGCGCATGGACTGATGGCCGCAGGGCCGTGCAAACAAAGGCCACCTGGCAGATCGATTCACCACTTCTCAAGGGCTTCTCAGTGGCAGATCAAAGTGCTTTCTTGGTAATGTATATAATGCTTGCTGTTGAGAACAGAATCTTTAATCTTCTCACTCACTTGTGCTTCTGAATCTCATTAAAAAGAGCCACCTTGCATTTGGCAAGACAGCAGGACACCTGCCCTGCATGCAGAAGGTCCACGGTTCCATCCCCGGCATCTCCCGCTAGGGATGGGAACGTCCCGTCTGAAATCCTGGAGAGCTGCTGCTGCTGCTGCCAGTCACGAGTTGACAATATAGAGGTCCATGAATCAGCAGCGCGGCTCAGTGTAAAGCCGTATCTGGAATGCTGCATGTGGTTCTGGTCTCCTCATCTCAAAACGGTGGTGGAAAAGTGGCTGGTGTGTTTTTAATGTATTGTTTCAAGGGGGCCTTTTTTGTCCCAATGTGGGTTTCTGTTTGGTTGGTTGCAAGCTGCTGCAAATCACCTTTGGCCAGTAAATAGTAAGAGGTGCAAAACGAGGACACGTCCCTGCCAAGGAATCGAGCTGAACTCCAGTTCCCATCAGGCATGTTGAATGGCCAGGGATGATGGGAGTTGTAGTCCAACCATATCTAAAAGGCCACTGGTTCACCATCCCTGCAAGTATTTAGGGCCATCAGGTTAGATAAAAGGAGGAATATGAAGGAGGTTTGCAAAGTCCTGCACGCTGTGGAGGAAAAGGACAGACATTGGTTGCAATCTCCAAACGTCAACATGCAGCTATTTGCACTTCCTTGTAGGACCCACCAGAGGGAGCTTTCAGATTCTGAGAAAGTTTGAGTATTTAACGGTCGTCCCCCACCCAAAAGAATTGTATCACAATCTTATTCCTCCCTTTAATTAAAAATGTGATGTATCCACTACTCTCCCCGCACCTGAAAAAGCTTCGTTTCTGCATGCAAAAAAATTAAAAAAAATTCTGCACCAGCCGTTATTCTGGGAAATACCGTATTTTTTGCTCTATAAGAACTCACTTTTTCCCTCCTAGAAAGTAAGGGGGAATGTGTGTGCGTCTTATGGAGCGAATGCAGGCTGCGCAGCTATCCCAGAAGCCAGAACAGCAAGAGGGATTGCTGCTTTCACTGCGCAGCGATCCCTCTTGTTCTGGCTTCTGAAATTCAGAATATTTTTTTTCTTGTTTTCCTCCTCCAAAAACTTGGTGCGTCTTGTGGTCTGGTGCGCCTTATAGAGCGAAAAATACGGTACTTCTGGCTGAATGGTGTTAATTATTTACTTTAAACCCAGAGCACAGACTCAGGAAGCAAGGCAACGGGCAGCCTCTCCCAGAGGTAGGAGATTCTCTTGTGACTCCACATCAGGGCTAACTGAATGTTCCCACTAAAACATCTGCACCACATCTGTCCCAAATCCAATCTCCGGCTACATCCCATAATCTATGACCGCTCGTGAGGCCAGGTGAGGCCGATGGGACTTGGAGTCCAGCGACATGAGGACACCAGCTTTAAGGAAGGCTGGGACAGGTTGTTAAATGCTTTGGATTTGTCTGAATTGGCTAAGTGCCTCGATGGTGCAGTATTAATAGCAGCAACTGCCTGTTGAAGAAGCCTTAATCCCAGATATTCCCACTGGGGAGGAAAATGTCCTTTCGCCAAGGCGGAGGGCCGAATCGATGCAGAGAGCTGCTGCCACTACTAGGACGTTGTCCTTTTTCTTGATTCAAGAGAGGTTTAAAAAGTAGTTTCTGAACGGGAACACAAAGCCAAAAGAGTGTAAAAAGAGCCGGCTGGATCAGGCCAGGGACTCATCTGTGGGAAGCCAGCAAACAGGATTTGAGCACAAAAGTCCTCAATTCTCCTGTGTTTTCCGGCAACTGGGATTCATAAGCATTGCTGCCTCAAACTGTGAAGGCAAGGGAGAGCCTCCATGGCCAGTAGCCACTGAGACCTTCTGTGAATTTGTCTGACCCTATTTTAATTTATTCATTTGGTTTTTCAAATTACAGTTTTACAATCACAACATCCAACATAAAAACGAGATTCCAAAGAATCTCTTGGACTTTTCTCCTCCCCTTTGTGGGTCCTGTTGTTAATCATTCCCTCCTGCATCTTTTAGGATAATCCAAATCTTTTACCTCTCCATTGTGTCCAAAATTCACCATTAAACTACAAGTGTTATTCCAATCCTACTAACGATTTTAATGGTTTACAGTGGTTTTTAAGGTAAATTATAAATTTCCCCCCCATTCCTTATTAAAATTTTGGTCTTCCTGATTTCTGATTCTTCCAGTCATTTTTGCCATTTTGGCATAATCCATCAACTTGATGTGCCGTTCTCTGGTTAGGGACTTTATCTTCTTTCCATCTCTGTCCAACTCTCTTTTAAAGCCCTCTGAGTCAGTGGCCATCATGACATCTGGCTGGAGCAAATTATGTAGCTGAACTTTGCACTGTGTGAAGAAGCACTTTCTACCTGTTGGGAATATTTCAGTGTTCAGCTTCATTCAATGTTTCTCTTTGGATTTTAAAAAGTGCCCTAAATAATACTATTCATCTATTATTATTATTATTATTATTATTATTATTATTATTATTACAGGGACACAGGTGGCGCTGTGGTCTAAACCACTTAGCCTCTTGGGCTTGCCGATCAGAAGGTTGGCGGTTCAAATCCCCGCGATGGGGTGAGCTCCCGTTGCTCGGTCCCTGCTCCTGCCAACCTAGCAGTTTGAAAGCACGCCAGGTCAAGTAGATAAATAGGTACCACTGCGGCGGGAAGGTAAACGGCGTTTTAGAAGACATCTGAAGGCAGCCCTGTTTAGGGAAGCTTTTAATGTTTAACAGACCACTGTATTTTAATACCTTGTTGGAAGCCGCCCAGAGTGGCTGGGGAAACCCAGCCAGATGGGCGGGGTGTAACTATATTATTATTATTATTTGCGCTGCTCTGGTTTCGGTGTTCCGCTGCGCCAGAAGCGGCTTAGTCTTGCTGGCCACATGACCCGGAAAAACCATCTGCGGACAAACGCCGGCTCCCTCGGCCTGTAAAGCGAGATGAGCGCAGCAACCCCAGAGTTGTTCGCGACTGGACTTATCTGTCAGGGGTCCTTTACCTTTACCTATTATTATTATTACTCCGCCTTTCAGCAATCTGGTGCTCTCCATGGAATCTTAGCGCTAGAAGGGACCCAGGGGTCATCTAGTCCAACCCCTTCAATGCAGGAATCTCAGGTCAAGCATCCATGACAGATGAGCATCCAACCTCTGCTTTAAAAGCAAGGAGCATCCAAAACATCCAGATGTTCCAAAACACCTGGAAGGCACCAGATTAGCAAGGGCCAGTTCAGACAAAACTCTTTTTGAGCTTCCACTCTGCTCCCAATTCTGAATTTTTCTTCCCTGATCCCATCTGGGAGGTAGCCAAGACCTCATCCAGCTGCGCTCTGGGGCACTATGCCAAGGGTGGGGTCTGAGCTATGTACTCTTCATGCAGCAGAATAAACCAAAGCGAAGGAAGTGGGAGAAGCCATTTTCCCCCGCCTCCCCCCGGGACATTCCATGCAGAAAGCGGGGTGGGGGTGGAGAAGAGCCACGCAGGCAGGCAAGCGGGCAAAAGGCCCTCTGCAATTAACTCCTGGAAATAGCACAGCTTTCCACCGTGGGGTCAAATTATAGTTCCGAGCAATGCAGATAGTTAAAAAAGGTCTTTTTGGTGGCGGTGGTTGGGAGGGAGCAGGGATGGAGATGAATGAAAAAACACAAAGGCTTTTAAAACCAGACGTCTTCTTTCTTGCTATATATATTCTGATCTGGTTAGAACCAGTCCCTGGTTAGATCTGGCGGAACAGGATCTGCAGCGTCCACTTCGCGAAAGGCACAGCCTGGAGCAGCGGTTCTCAGCCTGTGGGTCCCCAGATGTTGTTGGACTACAACTCCCATCGTCCCTGAGCTCTGGCCTTGCTAGCTAGGGGTGATGGGAGTTGTAGTCCAACAACATCTGGGGACCCACAGGTCGAGAAAGGCTGGCCTGGAGGGTCACTTTGGATCTCATAGTACTGTAGAGCTGGGATTTTTTTATTTTTTTTTGCCCAACGTGGGGATCAAACCCATGACCCCAAGCTTAAGAGTTTCATAGTCTTTCCCAAGTATCTGAGCAGCTGGTGCCTTTGCAGCTATGCTCCAGCGGCACATTCAGCAGTAACAAATCCCCTACGACGGCTGTAGCTTCGGCCAGCAAAGATTTACTCCTCTGTAGTCCGCATGGCTAAGACTCTCAAACTGCAGCAAAAGCTGGTCTTCAGCGGTTAAGCAAACAGCGTTAGCGGTTTGGACACGGCAGACATGGACAGGGGAACCTCTGGCCCTCTATATGATTGCGCCAAATATTATGACGATGATGATTTGTAATTTGAAACATCTGGAGCAGGGATGGTGACATCTTCCAGATGCCGGTAGACTCCATCTCCCAGCAGCCAGCAAGGAAGATGGGATATGTCGTCCGAAAACAATGGAGGACAAAAAGTTTCGCTACAGAAGCAAAGTAATTGACTGCTGGGGTTAAACTGCTTGTCTTTGAGAACGTTAAGAGTGAGCTCGCCTGGAGCTGCCAACTGCAGAGCGCTCAGTCTCCAACATATTCTCCCAGTATGCCCCGTGGAGGACCTTAAGGTCCACAACTGACAACGCTTTGGAGGTCCCAGGTTGCAAGGTGGTTAGCTTGGTCTCGACTAGGGCCAGGGCCTTTTCAGCACTGGCCCCGACGTGGTGGAACGCTCTGTCGCAAGAGACCAGGGCCCCGCGGGACTTGACATCTTTCTGCAGGGCCTGCAAGACAGAGCTGTTCCGCCTGGCCTTTGAATTTGACTCAGTCTGACCCTTCTATTTCCCTCCCCTTATGGTTTTGATCTATGGGCTACTATTAAAATGAGGCTGCATTTTAAATTGCATTTTAACTTATATTTTAAATTGGTTTCTCCCCTCTTTATGTTTTTATTGTAATTTTACTGGTGTTAGCTGCCCTGAGCCCGGCTCTGGCCAGGGAGGGCGGGGTATAAATAAAAAATCATTATTATTATTATTATTATTATTATTATTATTATTATTAACAGCTCTGCAGCCAAGGAAGAGGAAGATACAGGAAAGTTTCTACGCTTGCTCTTCACCTGTGTCTGAAGAGCTGTTAAGACCTTCTCCAGGTTGTGAACTGACAACCCAATTATTTACAGACCTGCCGCTCCACCACCCAGAAGGTTTTCAGAAAGGAGGCGGTGCCGAGGCTCTATTTTAGGTTCCCAGCAAAGAAAAGCGTTTTAACTCTCAAGAAGGTGATTTTAGCTTAAACAGGGAAATAAGCATTAGTTGCAACTGAGCAATGCAGTGACCTGATCAAGGAGGTTGTTGATTTTTTTTTTTTGCAAAAGGCAGCGCACTTTCAAACGAAAAAGCAATTTTTGGGGCGGTTTTTTCCATCGGAAAAACGATTTTGGTAGTCTCCTCCCCACAAAAAAGCTTTGCAACTTTCGGGGTATTCTGGTTTTTACTTTTTGAAATATGGCAACCCTATATGGGCCAAGCTAGCTATTTCGGATGCTTTTACCCTGTCTCAGGGCAAGACAGAAGGCTTAAGTCTTCAAACCTATCACTCTAACCCAGGTTCCTTAAAGGCTACAGGGCTAGCTTTTAGGCGTTATTTCATTTTGGATGTGTGGTGTGACAAGTGTGGAGGGTTTTCGTTTAGTTTTTGTTGTTCTTCTAAAGATACCTTGGAACTTTCTCTTAGTGTGGTCAACGTTTGGCTTTTTCATTCTGAAAAAAAACAAGACAAATCAGGCAGTTCCCTCAAGGATCCGAGAACATTTGCACAGAACAGATCAACAGGATGCTTTAGAAATTACAGTTTACATGTCGGCGGGCCAGGAAGGAGGAAGGAATCAGAGGGTGCTACTAGCTAGGAGGTTTGGAGCGGTTCCTTTAATTGCAAGAAACAACTTTCTAGACCTCACCGTTCCAAGCAGACTTTGAAATCGGAAGGGGACCAATCACAGAGCGACGCGGCCGCCCCTCTGGAATTCCTGCCTGCAAGCCAATGCCTGGGCGGTCCTCCTTCTCGCTGTTTTGCATAGCCCCTCCCACTTCCACATGGCATAATATGGACAGGGCTTCCAAGAAAGAGGGCGGGGCCTCAGGGCCAGGTGGGCGGGACCAGCAGCTGTGGAACTCCCTGGGACCATAGATATGTGGGGGAAAAGAAATTGGGTGCCCTAACTGAGTAACCCTCCTCCTTTTCTCAACCAAATTGATGGTGCTTCGAGAGCAATTTGTGAGATCTGGGGTTGGCAGTCCTGGGATTTCAACTTTTTTCAGTCCACCCTTTAGGAAATTAGTTAGCTACCAGCTTTGGAATGTTAAATATGCAATTATAAGCATTTTAGGAAACCGGTTAGCTACCAGCTGTGGAATGCAAAATATGGGTACAGCTTGTGTTTGCTATACACTTGAATCTTAAAATACTGGGCTAGTGCAGCCGTTACCTGGGAGACCCGGGTTCAAATCTCCACTCAGTCATAAAAAGGTTCCTTGGAGCATATAAAAAGGTGTAGCAGAAATGAAAGAAATCTATAACATGTTCCAGAAGTGTGCTAAAACTTTCCCAAGCGAATGGGCAAGCTGGAAAATGCACAAATCGACCTCTGGCAGCTCATAAAATCAACACTGCATCCTTTGCAGTGTTCCCTCAGCGCTACACATAATGAAGCCCCTCCTATGTCTCTGGGCTGCCCCCACACGCCACGTAAGCAAGCCGAGGCAAGACCAGACACCGAGAGAGTTAGCAATGGTATGCCGCATCTAAACCAAAGCCGGGCGCGGTCTGCACAAATTACCCCTCGTCAAAAAAGCATCTCAGACAAATATCGCCCACTGTTTATCCGTACACATCGCAAAAATTGGGCTTTCGTGGAATTTGGTTTATTTTGGCAAAACATTTTAAATGGAGTGACCGGGGATGGGGAGGGGAGAGAGATGCGGAGCTGTACAAAACACACCCATCAAAATGTAAGCCATTGTCCCCAATGTCCTTGCTACGCTGTTGAGACTTTCCCACGAGGGCCGGACACTCATTTTTAAAGATAACCAATTTTGCATTCTGCATTGGATTTCAGAGTTTGCACGCGAAACGTGACAGTATTTCCTGGGTTACCAAAAGATCCGACCCTCAAAAGTTAAAAAAACAGATTCTGGGTTTGCAGACAAAGAAGCAAGTTATGTCACAGCGGCTGCATTTTAGCAAAGAGGTAACATTTTGTAAGTTGCACATGAGAGCACAATGCACCCTTTTGAACTTGGCTTTCTTTTACCTTTCCAGGCTTTGCTTATCAGGGGAACTCTGGGTTCCCACGGCAAAAAGGGAGGATGGGTTTACACTTCTCGTTTCACATCATAGGCGCACTACACCACATTGGACCTGAAACAAGTCTGTCCGCTATGATTCTGGAACAGCTACCTTTTGTATTTACTCATCCAGGGAGACAAGGGATGAACTGCATGGAATTATTTTTGGAGATTCCAAACCACAAACACTTCACACTGACCAAGATGCTGATTCTGCTCTCTTTGGGGGGGACTTAAGTTACCCCTCCCCCAAAGTTAGTGGGGCTTGCAGCTTTTAGCTGTTTTGTTCCCATGCAAGGCACTGATGAAGACAACAGGTTTTAAAATATATAGATATTAAGAGCACATTAAGTGAAAGGAGCTGCTGCCTCCTTGTCCTGTTTTCTGGGTGAATCTGGTTGATTTCTGCGGGAAGCAAGATATTGGACTCCAAAAGACTTTTGAGTCTGATCCAAAAGCAAGTCTATTCCTACCTTTTAAGGCACTTAAACTTCTATCATGGGATGTGTTTAGCACTGGCGAGATTGTGCCCTCTCTGCCTCTTTCCACTGCTTCTGCCATCCCCAAATATTTAGTGGGTGCCTGCCACTCCACCCCACATTTGAGTCCTTTGGGCATCAGGGTGGGGGTGGGGAATAACTCAGCATTTAACCTGCAACACCCTCCCCCAATCTAGGCACTGGACGTAAAGTACCACATCGCTACCACCAAAAAAACAAACATCCCTTCTATGGGGCCAGGCTTGTATAATCGGGAGCATCCTTCCCCCACCCTTGCTACTGTTTTTTCCCCCGCGGGAGGGGCGGGGGTACATTTCCTCCAGCAATCTTTCCATGCAGTCAGCAGCCGGGAGGAAACCGGAGCAGGCTTAATCCTGCCGGCAAAAGTTGCAGCCAACTAGCTCGCAAGGCCCAGGAATAGTGCTTGGAGGAGAGAGAGAGAGACGGGGCGGAGGCGGCTGCTCCCCACAAGGAAAAGGGCGATCTCTCGATCCTCCCTGCTCTCCAGGAGATCCCGGGGGTCCCTCTCGGCATCCGCTCTCCAAAGACGGGTCCTAAAGCGAGCGGGCGCACGGGCATTACGCGCGCCCTGCAGAGCGCACGGCGAGGCGCATGCTAGAGCGCAAGATGCGCCCCACTTGAGTTGTAGTCCAACAACATCTGGGGACCCACAGGTTGAGAACCGCTGGACTAGACCAACCTTGGCCTCTGGCTACCTCACTGCCAGGAGCCCCCGCCTAACGCATTTCATTGTATAGCCTGGATAACTCAATTTGGTTAGAGCCTGATAGTGCCAAGGTTGCAGGTTCGATCCCTGATTGGGACAGTTGCATATTCGTATTTTCAGGGGGTTGGATTAGATGATCCCTAGGGTTCCCTCCAACTCTACAATTCTGTGATCCTGAATGGGGAGCCCGGAGGCGTTGCATGAAAAAGCCACCTTCCCCAAATAAGGAGAGCTCGACGGCTCACCAACGTGTCTCAAAGGTCCCGCCTGGTGGCGACGGAGGGGGTTTCTTTTGAGCGCACCCCAAAAAAGCTGGCAGAGTCAAATGAATCAGCTGCAAAGGGAATTCAGCTTTGCAAAAAGGAAACTGTCCCCCCTACGCCCCTGCGAAGTTCAAATCCAAGATCAGCTCCACCCTGAGCCTTAATCCGAATTCACGCCTGGGGCAAGCGGGGGTTCAGGAGGCCACCCGGGCGCGGGCCGTTCTCCTGCCAAAGCCTCGGGACCACGACGGCACGGCTTCTCCCAGCGGGGCTTGCGCAGGAGAACCACCCGCAGGGAACGGACGCCTCGCCGTCCGGAAAGGGAGAGTCGCTTTCCCAAGCAAGGCAGGCTTTCCAAAAAGGAAAGCTCCCCAAACCGGCCTTAAGGAAGCTTCGCGCTTCCTTGGGAAGAAGTCCCGCTGAAGGTCAAGGGGCTTACTCCCGAGTAAGCGGCCACTCGGAGCCGACAGCGGCGCCGGGTTCCCCGAGAGTTGCGCAAAAAGTCTCCAAAAGGGGCCCCCGCTCACCTCGGAGATGGCGCTCGGGCGGCGGAAAGAAAGCCGGGCTTCTCTTTGCGCTTTCTGCGACGCGGCGGCCCGGAGGAGGGGGCTATATAACCCCGCCAGAGAAACTTCTGGAAAGTTGTAAGGGGGGGGGGAGGAAAAAGCGCTCTCCCGCTGCGTCTTTGCAGCAAAAAATGGGGCCCCCGTCCCGAGCAGCGCTCCTCTCTCCCCACCTCCTGCTGCTCCCTCCCGGCCCTGCAGGGTCCTATAGAGAGTCACGTTCCCAGGCGCACAGACGTCGCTCTGTCTCCTTTTCCCTCCCACGTCCTTCAAGTTCTCGCTGCAGTTCGGCACGAGAAGCGAAGGGTTTCTTGAAACGCTGCAAACGTGAGCTGTTCACCCTTCCACCCACCACATCAACCCCGGTCCTAAGTGGAAAGGCAAGGCATAAAATGGATTTTACGCATGTACTGGTGCTGCTTTAAACTGTCTTTATAGTTATAGAAACAGGATTATAGAGTTGGGTCACCAAGTCCAACTAATTGCAATGCAGGAATCTCTTTGCCCAACGTGGAATAATGATAATGAAAATAAAAATAAAAATAAATAAAATGGCGCCCACCTGACTGGTTGCCCCAGCCACTCTGGGTGGCTCCCCCCAAAATATTAAAAGCACAATACAACATCAACCATTAAAAACTTCCCGATATAGGGCTGCCTTCAGATGTCTTCTAAAGCTTACATGCTTACAGTGGCACCTCGGGTTACATACGCTTCAGGTTACATACGCTTCAGGTTACAGACTCCACTAACCCAGAAATAGTACCTCGGGTTTAAGAACTTTGCTTCAGGATGAGAACATAAATCATGCAGTGGTGGCCTAGCGGCAGCAGGAGACCACATTAGATAAATTGGTGCTTCAGGTTAAGAACAGTTTCAGGTTAAGAACGGACCTCCGGAACAAATTAAGTTCTTAACCCGATGTACCACTGTACTCATCTCTTTGACATCTGATGGGAGGGCGTTCCACAGGGCGGGCGCCACCACTGAGAAGGCCCTCTGCCTGGTTCCCTGTAACTTCGCTTTTCACAGGGAGGGAACCACCAGAAGGCCCTCGGAGCTGGAGCTCAGTGTCTGAGCCAAATGATGGGGGTGGAGACGCTCCTTCAGGTCTACTGGGCCGAGACCATTTAGGGCTTTCAAGGTCAGCACCAACACTTTGAATGGTGCTCGGAAACATACTGGGAGCCAATGCAGATCTCTCAGGACCGGTGTTATGTGGTCCTGGCGGCCGCTCCCAGTCACCAATCTAGCTGCTGCCTTCTGGGTTAGTTGTAGTTTCTGAGTCACCTTCAAAGGTAGCCCCACATAGAGTGCATTGCTGTAGTCCAAGTGGGAGATAACCAGAGCATGTACCAGCCAGATGTTCCCCAGGAGAGAATGTGTTCCAGTTAAAGCAGGGCTTCTCAAAGGGTGTGGAGCATCACACCAGTGTGGCAGGAAGATTCAAGCACACTCAAAGAAACATTTAAGCATTAAAAGACTTACCTCACAGTTTCCAGTGAATTTCTCCATCACTTTCTTTACTGCAAAACTATTGTTTTGGGGCATGGGTTTGTTGTGCAAGACCTCCCAATCACCTATAATTGTCGCAGCCTGAATTTGCCGAAGACACTGACAGTCTGGGAAGGGACCTATGTTATAAACTATTGTTTCATAGGGTTCAATTTCTTCTGTAAACTGCATTGCATTCATTCTTCTTTCTGGATGGGAACCGGTGCATGGATACTTGAAGCCAATGAATTAAATGAATCTGCCCTCAGATGAACCGAGAGCAAAATCTCCATATATCTCCCTCATCTAGTCTCCAACCAGCCTTTGCTAATGGGCATTACGGCAGATGAGAGAGACAGGAATGTCTCCTCGCCCCCCTCCTATTGCCCATCTTTTGTGTCCAGCTGCGAGCGAAATAGCTTGTTTCATCTGTTCCCCATAATAACCGTTTATTACATCGGAGGCGGCACATGGAGCGCACAAAAATGCAGTCATCTGGAAGCAGAACGACAGAACTCCAGAAGGTAGACAGGATAGTAAGGTCATGCAGAGGAAGAGGACTGTGTTCCTGATTCCAACCCCCCCCAACCCACCCCAAGCTGTTCATGCAGCAAAACAACAATAGCAACACTGGGATTTGTCGGGGTTTTCCTTTTCCGCAGGGGAGAGAACCTCATGGGGAAAAGTTCCTGCCTGGCGCATGAGTTCTGTATCCCTGGTTTGGCTTCTCCCGGGCATGCAGGTTTCCCAACGTAATGGAGTTTTCGGCATGGGGGAGCATTTGATCACATGATACCCGCTCCCAACCGGTCCCAGGAAGACTGTGCCACGTGCATTATGGGAAGCTCAGAAGACAGACCAGCCAGGAAGTTGGACGAGAGCTTTATTCTCTTCCCAACAAGAAGAGGAACAGGATTTAGCTGCGATGAGATCACGCTTTAGGTCCTTGCTCAGCTCTACAAGAATTGAATCTAGGAAGTTTCTGGCCCCATCCGAATGCAATTAGGTCCATTGTGGCATTGCAACCTTGGGGCGCTTCCAGACTCTTGCTCTCTCCAGGTTGGCTTCAATCCTGCACCGTTAAATTTGGGTGGCGTGATTGGAGGACTTGTGCAACAAACCCACTTTCCCCAAAAGATCAGACTCTTTGCGATAGGAAAAGTGATGGGGGGGTGTGGGAGAAGGGGGGGGCAACCCTTGTTTTGATGCAGCATCGTCAAACCTCCCCGCGAAGTCAGGATGAATGTTCATTAAATAGCTGGCAGCATCTACGATACGATAATCTTTATTGTCATTGTCCCATACAGAACAACGAAACTGAAAAAATCTACAGCAGACATTCAAAAACCAACAAGCCTGCTATCCCAGCTATCCCAACCTGGTTAGCCCCCTAAAAACTCTGATACCCCATAATTGAATACAATATACTCCCATAGAGACTACCTTACACTGCATTTAAAACCAAAATCTCATTTGGATAAAAACTGTTTCTCAGGCGGCTAGTCCTAGTCTTTATAACCCTGGACCTTCTTCCAGAAGGCAGAGGGTGAAAGAGATCACCACCCCGGAGGGTGCACACTATCCTGCGCTATCTCTGCAGCTTGCTTTCTCTAATCTCCTTGCGCACAAATCAAGATGGATGCTCCATTCACAGGGTCTTCTGGAAGGACACTAAGTAACTCTTTCCTACCCAATGTGATTGGGGAGTGAAGTGTAGGTGGGTTCCTACGAGGCAAGACACAGCGATAACAGCAAGAACCTTCGTTGAACTACATAACTGGGAAACGGGGGCAAAGCAACTGCTTATATACATTCCTGAAAGCCAGGGCCACTCCCACTCTCAACGTGATTGGCTGTCTAAACTTCCAAGCTGCGAATCAGGACTCAAGAGTTAAAGGGCCAATGGCAGAGGCCCAAATCCTGAAATGTTCTGTGATTGGACGTCGTGTATCGAATCAGAACACAGGAGCTCAGAATCCTTAGTCTTTAGACTCAACTCAATCCTTAGACTTAAGCTCAGGCAAACACCGATCACTGAATACATAACAGGGAGCCCCTTGTCAGGATAACCGCCTGGGGGGCCATCATTCCATCTGAACAGGGTGTTTGTGTCTCCACACTCACAAGCCCACCTTGATAGAGCAAAGGTCTGCAGCTCAGTTGCAGAGAACATGTTTTGTGGGTGCAACAACAACAGCTTCAGTGGCTGCCGTTCAGTGCAGACAATACCAGCCTAGATGAACCACAATCTGACATGGCCTTCAGGTCACTTCCCGTGGCTTCTTCAGGATTGCCATTTCCCCCCCTAGCAAAAATCCCCTTTTCTTTCTTTTTCTTATGCCACCTGATGTTTCCTTCTGCCTATGAACACTGAGGGCATGTAAGGACATCTCTTTCTCTTTTCGAGCTATTTTTGATAAGAGTAACTCCAACCTCTGCTTGCAGAACCAGACATGGATGCCGTTAGTTTCACCAGTGCTTCCCCCCACTTTGAAACCAGGGAAGAGAAATATCGATCTGAGCTTGAATCCACCTTTTCTCTGCAAAACACTCGCAGGCAATGGAGCCGAATTTTCTGAGACTGGTGCTTTTGTGTATGAGGCAGGCCCCTTGCGCAGAGGAAGCCAGGCATTGTATGCTATTCTGTAAACCGTGTGAAAGAGCTAGGCATTCCTATTGAGAATCCTCTTTAGTTGCTACACTCAGTGATGTGGCTGAGATGCAATATCTCTTGTCTTGGTTTCAACAGGGCTAAATCGGAACAAACCACAGTCCACGGGAAACCCAATTGCCTTTTCATTCCAATTCAGCGCTAAAAGATTGGGTTTCCCCAGGGGAGAGCAGTGGGGCAAAACGGAAGTGTGGTGGCGCAGCAATAAAACTGCCAGCACCTTTTGCAAAGCTAAGCAGGGCCTGGTACGGTTTGAAAATTGGGTGAGCTTCCGGTATTGCAGGGGTTTGGACTAGATGACTCTCTGTGTCCCTTCCAACTCTACAATTCTGTTGTGTGCATTCCCCCTCCCCGAGATTTAAGATTCTGTTTTTAAACTATGGTTTGCCACAGAGCCTAGGGCTTGCCGATCAGAAGGTCGGCGGTTCGAATCCCCGCGACGGGCTGAGCTCCCGTTGCTCAGTCCCTGCTCCTGCCAACCTAGCAGTTCGAAAGCATGTCAAAGTGCAAGTAGATAAATAGGTACCACTCTGACGGGAAGGTAAACGGCGTTTCTGTGCGCTGCTCTGGTTTGCCAGAAGCGGCTTAGTCCTGCTGGCCACATGACCCGGAAGCACTTCCAAGTGCAGGTAGATAAATAGGTACCACTTCGGCGGGAAGGTAAATGGCGTTTCCATGAGCTCCGCTGGTTTCCCAGAAGCGGCTTAGTCATGCTGGCCACATGACCCGGAAGCTGTACGCCGGCTCCCTCAGCCAATAAAGTGAGATGAGCGCCGCAACCCCAGAGTTGTCCGCAACTGGACCTAACCGTCAGGGGTCCCTTTACCTTTTGCTTATTGTACAGATCACGTGTTTTATGTTTATGTGTAATTCTTAGAAATAATCGCCGAAGAATGGATGCTTTTGAATTATGGTGCTGGAGAAGACTCTTGAGAGTCCCATGGACTGCAAGAAGATCAAACGCATCCATTCTTAAGGAAATCAGCCCTGAATGCTCACTGGAAGGACAGATCCTGAAGCTGAGGCTCCAAGACTTTGGCCA